ACAGGTCGCAATTTTCATGATAATTGGATGAAATTTGGCATGCACGTTTTATTTGACCTAAGGACGAAGCCTATTGAAAATGGTTAAAATCGGTCCATTATTTCACCTAGCCCCCATAGAACAGAACCCCCCCGAAAAGGGCTTCTGAGCTCATAAATGTTAAATATGTTAAATATACAGATATATCGACAAAATACGGCCACAACTAAGTTTTATAGAAGTCTTGATAACCCTGCAAATTTCATAAAGATCCCATAAAAAGTCCCCTTCAGAAAATTACTTGAATGTCCCAAATTAACTTATAAACACAAATATCGCGATTGAAATTCAGCCACAATAAAATATTATGTAAATATAAATATATTCACAAAATTTATCGGGCTTGATCCATATTTGCCCTAGCCCCCATATAAAGCCTCTTTCAGAAAATTAGTTTTTCATCCATAAATTGCTTTTAAATGTATCGGAACAAGGGAATATTGAAGATAAATGCGATATTTTGAAAAATAAATCACATTTAATATTCATAACTGATGTAGGGTAACATATGGTCGGCCACGCCCCGACTATACTTTCTTACTTGTTTATTTTTTTATTGATATTCTTTTGGTATTAAATCTATTTAACTAAAAGCCGAATTGAGTATTTTTATAAAATTTTTTTTGAAATTTACTTGTACATATTATGTACATATACATACATACATACATACATACACACATATATAATGAAAGTATTGATAAAATGTTAACCCAGTAAGTGGTTTGCAAAAAATTCTTGATCATGCATTGACTAGCGTTGAATTTTAATTAATTAAATGTCATTTTATTGTTATTGTGGCTTGGTTAACTTTTCAGTTCTACGAATACCAGACAAGCTTTTTTTAAAGGTTTCAATTGTTTGCTGGGTTTTATACTATACAATGCATGAATATGTATACATTTTATAAAAAAGTTTGCACAAAAAAAAACAAATTTTTAGTTCGATATACGTTGATTGCTGTTTTCAACATACAATCGTAAGTTTTTGTATAATAGGTTTCAACATATTGTTAGGAGTAAAAAAATTAGACTCCAAAAGGATGAAAAAATTTCCACAAAATTTACATCTCATTTCAAAACATTCAGTTTAAAGAAAAAATCGAACACTAATTTGTGTATTTTAGCACAGTGGACCTGTTAAACAGAAGGATCTAGAGATCCTAATATTCAAATTGAAATGGCCAATACCTTAGTGTCGGTTGTCCTAATTCAGCGGAAACCACCCAGATGTCAAGGATCCACAAAAGGCGTTAGAAGAAAAAATTAACGAGAGTTGTACAATAAAAGTTGGATCTCAAAAGAAAACGTTAATGTTACATACAGCTCGATCAAGCTTGATTATATCGATTACAAAGACAATTCATCTAAATGGATAAGGAACCATATCCTCACTTTTCTTACCAAAGTCTTTCGACTTTAATACGTATAGTACCCAATTTCCCTGATCAAGATGTTTACCCAAATTTTTATATTGAAATTTTTTGGGTTAACTCTAATATATTTGTACATACATTGTGCATATTCGAATGTACGAGATTATTTTTTATAGATTTTTTATACATTTTTATTTATTCTTTAAATTCTGTGGTGACTAGTTTTTTTACTATTAAAGTAAATCTTTAAAATTTGTAATAAAAGTCATCTAAATATTAAAAATACATACATATATGTCTATGTTGAATTTCTAGATTGGGTTCAAAAGTTATGTTTGATATTTTATTCTTTCAAAACAATTGTAAATTTAAACAACATTAAACAAATTGATACTAAATATTGAATTAAATTTAACCAAAAGTGTAACAAGAAGCGTGGTGGAACGCCAGAAACTTCCATACAACTATTTATTTATCAATAAAAGTTTTTCTGTTTTTTCTTAAAGAAGATGCCTAAGACACATTTAACATCTGATCTGAAACTCATATAAAAATATGTGTTTTTATTAATAAACAACATATTTTTTTTCTGGTCGACCACAAAACACATAAACTGTCTAAGAAATAAAAACTAAAACATTAACACCATTTTATGTCGCTTTATTATCATTTCATTTAATTTATTTAAGTTTTGTTTGTTTATTTTATGTTTCTTGTTTTTTATGTTTGTTGCTGTTGTTGTTCTTGTTGCTGTTATGGCTGTTTTGTTTTAACAAGGTCATAAGTTATTTAAAAACAACTTGAGAACATGTTACAAGAATAATTTCACTTTTATGTGGATTTCTTTGTCTAACTGTTTGCAGACGTGTGGTGGGTCATGGGGGGACCGGAAGTACGAAGGAGGAGGGGGGGGGGGGCAATAGGGACGGAGAGGGGGAAAGAAAGAGGGGCCAAGAGGGCAGAGAACGCAGAGCAGGGGGAGAAGAAACGGAAAGGGGCGGAAGAGCGTAACACTAGCGAGCGAGCGAGCGAGCGAGCGAGCGAGCGAGCGAGCGAGCGAGCTATGCGAGCGAGCGAGCAGAGAGCGAGCGAGCGAGGAGCGAGCGAGCGAGCGAGCGAGCGAGCGAGCGAGCGAGCGAGGCGAGCGAGCGAGGAGCGAGCGAGCGAGCGAGCGCGCGAGCGAGCGAGCGAGGGAGCTAGCGAGCGAGCGAGCGAGCGAGCGAGCGAGCGAGCGAGCGAGGAGCGAGCGAGCGAGCGAGGCGAGCGCAGCGAGCGAGCGAGTAGCGAGCGAGCGAGCGAGCGAGCGAGCACGAGCGAGCGAGCGAGCGAGCGAGCGAGCGAAAGGAGCTAGCGAGCAGCGAGCGAGCGACGAGCGAGCGAGGAGCGAGCGAGCGAGCGAGCAGAGAGCGAGCGAGCGAGCGAGCGAGCGAGCGAGCGAGCGAGCGAGCGAGCGAGCGAGCGAGCGAGCGAGCGACGAGCGAGCGAGCGAGCGAGCGAGCGAGCGAGCGAGCGAGCAGCGAGCGAGCGAGGAGCGAGCTAGCGAGGAGCGAGCGAGCGAGCGAGCGAGCGAGCGAGCGAGCGAGCGAGCGAGCGAGCGAGCGAGCGAGCGAGCGAGCGAGCGAGAGAAGCGAGCGGAGCGAAGCGATCGAGCGCGCGAGCTAGAGAACGAACGAACGAACGGAACGAACGAACGAACGAACGAACGAACTAAGAACGAAACGAACGAAGACCAACGAACGAACGAACGAACGAACGAACGAACGAACGACGAACGACGAACGAACGAGAACGAAACGAAAGAACGAACGAAACGAAGAACGAAGAACGAAACGAACGAACGAACGAACGAACGAAGAACGAACGAACGAACGAAACGAACGAACGAACGAACGAACGAACTAACGAACGAACGAACTAACGAACGAACGAACGAACGAACGAACGAACGAACGAAACGAACGAACTAACGAACGAACGAACGAACGAACGAACGAACAACGAACGAACGAACGAACGAAAAACGAACGAACGAACGAACGAACGAACGAACGAACGAACGAAAGAACAAGAACGAACTAACGAACGAAACGAACGAACGAAAGAACGAACGAACGAACGAACGAACGAACGAACAACTAAGAACGAACGAACGAACGAACTAACGAACGAACGAACGAACGAACAACGAACTAACGAACGAACTAACGAACGAACGAACGAACGAACGAACTAACAACTAATAAACTAAACTAACTAAACTAACTAAACTAACTAACAACTAACTAACTAACTAAACTAACTAACTAACTAACTAACTAACTAACAATAATAACTAACTAACTAACTAACCGAACTAACTAACAACTAACTACTCACTAACTAACTAACTAAAGCTAAATTGCTACAGAAATACGAAACGTCAAGGTTATACAGGCGACAAAATTTTGAAAAATTCGAACCCCTGGGACCAAGTTCTACTTTTCTAAGGCATTGCGCCAAAAGTTGAATTCAAATCTCAAATTTGTCCCTATCACATCTGGGATTTGAGATTATCGTGTCCTGAAGTATGAAAACAGACGCTTTTTGAGACGTTATACAGCGCCAAGACAACTGAAGGTATCTTGAAGAAGAAAGAAGACAGAAGCCGACATAATATACTTTCAGATAAGATACATTTTACAAATAAAGTTATATTGGCGCTGTTTTACACCGACTCAAAAAGGGCCAAATATGTTGTTTTTAAAACTTCAGGACACGATATCTGAAATGCCAGACATGTAGAAATGTTATACTTTGGTCTCTGGATATTTTCCGACTATGGCAACTCATACACAATTGTAAGTAAGTGCTTTACACTGATACTAGTTCCACCAACTTTATGCGAATCCCATGAAAAAAAAAGAAAACAACAAAACTAAAACAACTTTAACTTTAAGAAGCTTTAATACTTTTAAAACTGACACACAAACAAAAATCTTTAATTACATTTTCTACAACTGGGCAAATTAAATGGAAACAACAGAAAAAAAAGAGAAAGATTTGTTAGACAACTTAAATCCAACCAGAACAACAAACTATTCGAACAAAGTCAGTCACACAATTGCAGCAGTTACACGCAAAACTTTGCCAACAACGGAAGTGAAATTTAATCAAAAATTATGTTTGCCAAACAAAAAATATCAAATGGATAAAATTAAATTAATTTTGCAAAAGGAGAGAGCTACGAGACACTAATAGCAAATAAAAACCCGAATCAGGAGGAAAAAATTAAAATAATCCAAAAAATACTAATGCAACAAAAATGAGGCATTTAGAGTGGTTACTGCAACTTTGCTTTATGTGGCATGTTATGAAAATAATCAAAACTCATGGCGAGTCGATGTCAAAAGAAACTATATTTCAATTACAAAAATATCCTGCTGTGAATAGAACTGATGATGATGAGGATGATGGCGAAAGCAATGTTATTAAAAATATTCCAAAATATGTTACGACAATGAAGCACAAACTACATACAGCAGTGGCAGCAATAACTCTGTTGAATTATTAAATATTTTTAAAACTATTTTACAACAATTACACAAAGTGAATGTGAACAAATTGAGAGGAAGGAAGTGCAACGACGAGCAACCAAAGGTGACTTCCAGCCCAGAGAGGAAGAGCAGCCCGAAAGTCGATATGAAACATTTAATATATTGCAACAATTGAAATTGGATGAACAGAAACAAAAGTGGCAACAGCAGCAGCTGGAAAAACAACAGCAATTAAAATTACACTTGCAACAGCAGCAGAATGCATTGAAATTGCAACAAATAATGCAGCATCTCGATGCTGAAAGTCTAGGCAAGGCGGGCAAAAAGAAAAAGAAGAAGAAAAGAAAAAGAAGAAAAACGCAAGAAGCGTAAGAAAAAACCCAAAGATAAGAAAAGAAACGCAAGAAAAGAAACATCAAACATCCCTGCTGGCTCATCCTGCTCACATACTCTACGCTAGTCCCACACAAAAGCCTCAACATTATTATCACGACCATTATGATGATGACCATGATCAACACGTAACAACCACAACGAAAAAACCTTATTTACATCATCCTCTGGTGCCGATAAAAAAAATCAAATACATTCTACGTAAAAACACCATATTTAAGAAAAAGAAAAAGAATATCTCAATCACTTGAAACATGTCCTCTATCCGTTTGTCAAATTCATTGCATTCTTTACCATCATCAATCCTTTCACACTGGCCGTCTTTCTCTTTTCGCTCATATCACCGGTAGTTTTGGTTTCCTTGGTTTCATCGGTTTAAGTTTCCTCATCAAGCCCGCTCTGCACTTGCTGTTCGGTGTCAAGCCAACAGTGAATACAATTAAACGTCAAAAATTACAGCAACTACGGAAAAGACAACGTTTGCGTGATAGCCGTCGTCCCATAACGATACATAAGCACTACTATCAACAGAAACCAATAGCACCACCACACTCACATCATCGTCATCATTCACCACCACCTGCAAAACCAAAAGGTCCTCCTCCACCTCATCAGCATTATTCTCATCGCCTTGGAAATCGTCATCATCATCATCCACGACAAATAAAAACATTTAATCCACTATTGCCTCATGTAAAAGAGAAATTAAAAAGGACACACACTTCGTACCAGATTTCAAAGGATACAAAGAGCCATTCGAATTGATTTAAGGAGCACGTGTATTTAAGAGCATTAGTGTAGCATTTAGAGTATTAATATTATTACATTCTTTTTTATCGTGTGTTTTTTATCATTGTTGTAAAATATTTTCTTTTCTCTGTTTATTATTTTATATAGTTGTAGATTTAATAAAAAATACTAAAAAATTAATAAATTATGCCTTTTTGTTGCAAAATAGCTTTCAAAAAAGAAATCAGTTTTGATTAAAAATAATTACAATTTTGTTTAATCCTAATCTAGTGGTAGGATGTGAGAGGACTAATAGCGCAAATCTTAATAGTATATAAATTCTAGAACTGAACTAGAACTGAACTAGAACTGAACTAGAACTGAACTAGAACTGAACTAGAACTGAACTAGAACTGAACTAGAACTGAACTAGAACTGAACTAGAACTGAACTAGAACTGAACTAGAACTGAACTAGAACTGAACTAGAACTGAACTAGAACTGAACTAGAACTGAACTAGAACTGAACTAGAACTGAACTAGAACTGAACTAGAACTGAACTAGAACTGAACTAGAACTGAACTAGAACTGAACTAGAACTGAACTAGAACTGAACTAGAACTGAACTAGAACTGAACTAGAACTGAACTAGAACTGAACTAGAACTGAACTAGAACTGAACTAGAACTGAACTAGAACTGAACTAGAACTGAACTAGAACTGAACTTGTACTGAACTTGAACTGAACTTGAACTGAACTAGAACTGAACTAGAACTGAACTAGAACTGAACTAGAACTGAACTAGAACTGAACTAGAACTGAACTAGAACTGAACTAGAACTGAACTAGAACTGAACTAGAACTGAACTAGAACTGAACTAGAACTGAACTAGAACTGAACTAGAACTGAACTAGAACTGAACTAGAACTGAACTAGAACTGAACTAGAACTGAACTAGAACTGAACTAGAACTGAACTAGAACTGAACTAGAACTGAACTAGAACTGAACTAGAACTGAACTAGAACTGAACTAGAACTGAACTAGAACTGAACTAAACTGAACTAGAACTGAACTAGAACTGAACTAGAACTGAACTAGAACTGAACTAGAACTGAACTAGAACTGAACTAGAACTGAACTAGAACTAAACTAGAACTGAACTAGAACTGAACTAGAACTGAACTAGAACTGAACTAGAACTGAACTAGAACTGAACTAGAACTGAACTAGAACTGAACTAGACTGAACTAGAACTGAACTAGAACTGAACTAGAACTGAACTAGAACTGAACTAGAACTGAACTAGAACTGAACTAGAACTGAACTAGAACTGAACTAGAACTGAACTAGAACTGAACTAGAACTGAACTAGAACTGAACTAGAACTGAACTAGAACTGAACTAAACTGAACTAGAACTGAACTAGAACTGAACTAGAACTGAACTAGAACTGAACTAGAACTGAACTAGAACTGAACTAGAACTGAACTAGAACTGAACTAGAACTGAACTAGAACTGAACTAGAACTGAACTAGAACTGAACTAGAACTGAACTAGAACTGAACTAGAACTGAACTAGAACTGAACTAGAACTGAACTAGAACTGAACTAGAACTGAACTAGAACTGAACTAGAACTGAACTAGAACTGAACTAGAACTGAACTAGAACTGAACTAGAACTGAACTAGAACTGAACTAGAACTGAAACTAGAACTGAACTAGAACTGAACTAGAACTGAACTAGAACTGAACTAGAACTGATAAACTGAACTAGAACTGAACTAGAACTGAACTAGAACTGAACTAGAACTGACTAGACTGAACTAGAAACTGAACTAGAACTGAACTAAGAACTGAACTAGAACTGAACTGGAACTGAACTAGAACTGAACTAGAACTGAACTAGAACTGAACTAGAACTGAACTAGAACTAGAACTAGAACTGAACTAGAGCTGAACTAGAAACTGAAACTAGAACTGAACTAGAATGAAACTGAACTAGAACTGAACTAGAAACTGAACTAGACTGAACATAAAACTGAACTAGAACTGAACTAGAACTGAACTAGAACTGAAACTAGAACTGAACTAGAACTGAACTAGAACTGAACTAGAACTGAACTAGAACTGAACTAGAACTGAACTAGAACTGAACTAGAAACTGAACTAGAACTGAACTAGAAGAATAGAACTGAACTAGAACGAACTAGAACTGAACTAGAACTGAACTAGAACTGAACTAGAACTGAAACTAGAACTGAACTAGAACTGAACTAGAACTGAACTAGAACTGAACTAGAACTGAACTAGAACTGAACTAGAACTGAACTAGAACTGAACTAGAACTGAACTAGAACTGAACTAGAACTGAACTAGAACTGAACTAGAACTGAACTAGAACTGAACTAGAACTGAACTAGAACTGAACTAGAACTGAACTAGAACTGAACTAGAACTTGAACTAGAACTGAACTAGAACTGAACTAGAACTGAACTAGAACTGAACTAGAACTGAACTAGAACTGAACTAGAACTGAACTAGAACTGAACTAGAACTGAACTAGAACTGAACTAGAACTGAACTAGAACTGAACTAGAACTGAACTAGAACACAACTAGAACTGAACTAGAACTGAACTAGAACTGAACTAGAACACAACTAGAACTGAACTAGAACTGAACTAGAACTGAACTAGAACTGAACTAGAACTGAACTAGAACTGAACTAGAACTGAACTAGAACTGAACTAGAACTGAACTAGAACTGAACTAGAACTGAACTAGAACTGAACTAGAACTGAACTAGAACTGAACTAGAACTGAACTAGAACTGAACTAGAACTGAACTAGAACTGAACTAGAAACTGAAACTAGAACTGAACTAGAACTGAACTAGAACTGAACTAGAACTGACTAGAACTGAACTAGAACTGAACTAGAACTGAACTAGAACTGAACTAGAACTGAACTAGAACTGAACTAGAACTGAACTAGAACTGAACTAGAACTGAACTAGAACTGAACTAGAACTGAACTAGAACTGACAGAACTGAACTAAACTGAACGTGGTTTTTGGAAGCTCTATTTTGGAAAATATATCCTAGATTCACAGGGAACTGTAAAATGTTCTCATGGTTTAATTATGTTAAAGGAACACTCTAATATACAAATACAAAGTAATTTCTGAAATTATTTATTCACAATTCCGTGTTCTTTATCCCATAACGTTTCAATTATCAATATCCAAATTATTGTTAACAACTTATTTGTTTTTATAAAAATTTGTCAAAATTTTTTAACAAAAAATCTAAATACATAAAATATATATAAAAATAAAATAATTGAAAATATAAAAGAACTATTTATATAACATAACATTATAAGAATATGTTGTCATTTCGAAGAATTTTACAAAAATTACATCACATCTTTCAAGATCACTATCCATGCATATGGTTCATTTCTATCTTACAATCGTGATAGTGGGCTTTCTTCACTTTGAGCTTAAGCAGAATAATAAAGATTTGATCTATTGGAAAAATCTTGTACAATTCTGTTATCATGAATTGGAAACAATTTGCCATAATGTTGATAATCTTAGTGATTATGTTAAAAATCATATTTGTGGGTATCATTATAATGTCGAACACACATACGGTACATTGGTATGATGAATTGACCCAACTGGAGGTGAAGAAACGTTATGCCGATTTTCTTTTATTACGTCTTATAGCCGATATTGATAAGATTGAAGCAAAATATTTGCGCAATAATAAGACGAGTGATATTATAACTTTGAAAAGTTTCATTTTGGCTCATGAAAATATGAAGAAAAGTGTAGAGAACTTTCGTAAAGATGCACGCAAACTTATGACACCCAATGAAGTAGAGATAACACTGCCGATTGAAGAGGTCTATGGGGTTTTAGAGAATGAGATGCTTTACGTAAGAAGATCAAGATTTTGTAATATGGATATAGATACCAATGAGGGTTTAATTAAGAAATTAGTAATCCTTGAAAGTTGTTTAAATTTAAGGATTTTAATTCATTTGTAATTTTAAATTGTTTTGCGTTTTAATGGATATTAAAAAGAAATAGTAAGGGATATTATTAATAAAACTCATAAAAAGACTATTATTATAAAAGATTCGCCAGTTATTTTATATAAAACTAATGAAATAACTTCAAAGTTTTCATTATTTTTTATAGTTATTAAAAACTACTCATAACATCCTTCACTTCACATTCTCCTCAGACATCTTTGTGATGCTCAATAAAATTTTATATTAGTTTTTATTTCTTTCGAGGTCAATTTGATCAAACAAACAAAAAACATAAAAAAACGAACCGGAAGTAAATACAATGAATTTCTTATGGTCTTGTGTTTTAAAATTTGTCAAAATCATATATCCGGTTTAGCCAAAGGAAAGACCAACAATATACAAGTACTGGTGAACAATAATAAACTGTAGTACTAAGAACACATTTTTGAGATGTAACAAACAATTGCAACAAAAAAAGCAAACAAATTCCAATAACAACAACATGTTGTACAAACTAAGCATGAAATACTGTGTAACCAAAAATGTATACCTTCGGGAAAGGCGAACATTTGGTACCAACGATAGAAGCCAAGCAGAAAAGTGATTATAAATACATAGTCGTCGTATAGGATCTCTAATGGTTTGACTTTATCCCGAATATATCAATGACTATTAACACTGACCATCTGGTTAGATTAAATAGTTTAAGAAAGTTCATTTCCAAACTTACAGAAAGAGACATTTTTTTGACCGATTTAACATACGGGCCCAAAGTTTTCCCTTCTAAACTATAACCTGTAACATTTTTGCCAACATTGTAGAAATATTTTCTAAATAAACATTGTTTTTTCCTCCGTGTATATGTGTGTGTGTGTTTGTGTGTCTATATCTAAAACAAACACCTGGGTAATACAATCATTCTTTCTAACAATGTTAGGACATCTTAAATAAGCATCACCACACAGACATTTTCTAAAAACAATGT